AGAGAGAGAGAGAGAGAGAGAGAGAGAGAGAGAGAGAGAGACGTAGTATAACCGATACGGGTTCGTAAAACCACATATAATCATTAGTGGCGTGTAAACCTTCAAAGCGGTACAAGTTGAAACGTCTCGCGTCATTACGAACGTGGAACTACTACAATAGTTATACATAAAACAGCCCTTCAGCCGCTTCACTTCGCAACAGTTCTTACATGGCCATAAAGCTAACTCCATGAGTGCAATAAACGTACGTGTGGATGACGCTTTCTCCTCGCAAACTCACAACAGTGACCGATACGCAGAAAACCTCGCTAAATAAATTCCTCAAAATGTTGACACAAACGTTCAACGCCAATGCGGGCGAATCGGCGTCTAGCACTACGCGGTACAAGTACACGCGAAATCCACAACGTCGGAGAAATTCCGGGCGAAATTTCGAGCACTGAGATGTCCTTGCGGTGGTCGCTGCGCTGATACCTGACCAGGTATTCTATTCACTGGTCAGCGGGAGCGTGCGACAGTCCATGCTACAATACGCCCAACATAGTCACGGTAACACATTCCCTAATAACCCAAACAAGAACCATTCTTATAGGGCCAAAGCGGTGTTACGTGTGGGGAGGGTGACGAACAACAAATAAATTTACCGATCCGAAAGAAAGGGCAGGTTTCCTTTCTAAACCACGCAAGTTCCTCAACCCCACCTCACGAAATAGGCGTATTTAGGATGCCATAATTTAGCGAAGGGTGGTGTGTGAAAACCTCCACATTCCCTCTTAAAGGCAAATCCTCTCTCTGTCAGGCAGTAACGACTTGTGTCTTACCCGCCTCACCGGCTGATCCTTGCCTCCACACAGTAGATTTTTGTCATCACTGCCGTTGACCATTTTAGTAATAGATTTTCCGCCGTCAGTGACACGTGGATTCATCTTCAATCGACATAGCTCTACCTATATGTAACCCTTCACTCGGGGAAACTACTTAGGTAGCAGTACCACCAACAGAATACACGCGACCTACCGGGAATTTAATGATCCGATATGAGTTGTGGCATTGTTTTGAACTAAACTTTGAATGCGTAGTAACACCGCATGTATAGTTTCTAATTGTAATTATTAAAATAATTGATTGCTTTTAAATGACATTTTTAACGAGTCAGGTGGTGTATTTACCCGCTGCTTCGCCCGATTCCTTTATATTATATCTTCTATATTCGGTTACCTGTATAAAGTGACTCTGTGGTACACAAAACCATTCTATGGTTGTAAAAAAAGCTCTTGTGGTCGTAAAGAAAACGACAGATGTTATCATATGGCCCTAGATTCCCTAAGTAGTTGAGAATCAACTTATGGCAGCCCTGGTGAATTTTGGCATGCGTTAGGACGGCCTCGGGGCGTCGCAGTGCCGTCGATCGTCATGCTGACGGACACGCCACTCACGAAAAAATACCACAACAATACTCACGAAAACCCCACCCACTGATCCACCACATCCGCTTACCACCCACGCGTCACCTAGATCCGGTCGCGCACCTATGCTACACTACTGCCACACAGATATCGTTACGGAATTATCATCTGGGCACTTTCATTTTGAATCGCGAAAAAATATCCAAAATGTACAAATCCGTATGAGTCGCGGTGATAAACTGCATTATAGTACACCTAACCCCCAGAGTAGTGCATGCACCCTGTGCGTAGCAAGCGCATGGCAGCCAATGTACACTTCCTGGTGGGAGAGAGCGCGTAGGGGTGAACGACAGTATAGTACACTGAATGTGTCATTATGCCTATACAGAGCTACTGAAGAAGGAAATAAGGACGTACGAACACATCCACATACACAGAAGCAATCCCGAGCACTCACACACACGCACGCACATAGATAGATGCTCGCTCGCACGCACGCACGCACGCAGATGGATGCACGCACGCACGCACGTACGTACGCTCGCCCGAGCGGTCTGTGAAGTCACGAGACGGCGGAATTAAAAAAAAAACAATTTCCAGAAATGTATTTTTGACAGTACAGGTGACAGCACACAAATAATATAGCGATTCACACATTTCTGATACACAGGTTCACAATAGATCGCCGCTGACACCAATCGATTTCTGACAACACACACACGCACGCACGCACACACACACGCACGCACGCACACACGCACATGCACACACACACAGCGCTCATCATCAACGCATGAAATCATCGATGTGTAGAACAAACCACAATGTTATTAATTAATAGCTACAGCACACAGTACGTTGAGCCCACCCAATCGATGTCCCACGCCGCTATATAGCCCGCCCCTCATCCTCGTTCGTAAAAGACACAGAACGCTTCTGATAACAATAGAAGTCAGAGTGTGTACTCTACTCGCCTGATCGATGACTAGCAGCTGTGACTTATTTACACACAGAAGACACGTACGTGTGGGTGAAGGAAGGTCCTACACTGGTGGAGGGAGGTCCTACACTGTGGTGGAGGGAGTACCTACACTGTGGTGGAGGGAGGTCCCACACTGTGGTGGAGGGAGGTCCCACACTGTGGTGGAGGGAGGTCCTACACTGTGGTGGAGAGAGGTCCTACAGTGTGGTGGAGAGAGGTCCCACACTGTGGGGGAGAGAGGTCATACACTGTGGTGGAGGGAGGTCCTACACTAGTGGAGGGAGGTCCTACACTGTGGTGGAGGGAGGTCCTACACTGTGGTGGAGGGAGGTCCTACACTGTGGTGGAGGGAGGTCCTACACTGTGGTGGAGGGAGGTACTACAGTGTGGTGGAGGGAGGTCCTACACTGTGGTGGAGGGAGGTCCTACACTGTGGTGGAACGGGACCGGTCCACACCTGGGTGAGCTCGCCACGGGAGTCCTACAGTGCATCCGCGCAGGAACGCGCTAACCATCCAGCAAGTGTGGTGGAGGGTGTTCCCTACCACTGCCTCCGTCCAGCGGACGGTCTACATGTCGGTCGACGAGGTCAGCACCAGACCGCGGCAGTGGCACGCGGAGCTACCTGGGGAACACTGTGGTGAGACGAGTCCTACAACTGTGTGGAGGGAGGTCCTACCCTGTGTGGAGGAGGCCTTCCTACACCTCTGTGGAGGGGGCAGGCTACACTGCCTGGGGCGGAGTCCTACCAGCGCCTGGCAGGGAGGCTCGCACACCTGCTGGTGGACGGGAGGCTCCTACCTGTACTGACGACGGCTCCAACGCTGCCTCGCGAGGCGCACGATCGCACACTCGTGTGGAGGCCGAAGGCTCCTCACACCTGTGGTGGACGGAGGTCCAGCCCACGTTGGCTGCCAGGGAGTCTACAGCTGTGGTCGCCCAGCAGTACAACTGTGTGATGGCACGTCCTACCCAGTGGTGCGAGGCGGTCGCTACACATGATGGTGCACCGCGGGTCACCCAGCTGGGTGACGGCAGTACACACAGTGTGGCTCGGAGGCTGCCTACCCCATGCTCGCTCGCGAGCGACGCGCTTACTACACACCTGTCCGGCGAGGGAGTCCACATGTGGATGAAGGAGGTCCCCACACTGTGCCCCCTGGCACGGCAGGCTCCACACCCTGCTGGCTCCGAAGGGGGACGCGCTACACCACCACCCCCCTCCGTGCGTGAAGGACGGATCCCCCACACTGTGGTCGGACGGAAGGTCCCACTGTGGCTGGAAGCACGCCTCACACTGCTCGTAGACGAGCGTCGCCCTGAATAGTGCTAGGTCGCCCAAGGGAGGTCCTACACTGTGGTGGGGATGGAGTCCTACACTGTGGTGGATGGTACGGTCCTACCGTGGTGGTCAGAGAAGAGTTCAATCAGACGGGTGGACAGTGTGCGTGGGCAGGGAGGTCAGTACAGGGGAGCTGTGGTGGCAGCGACAGAGGTCCCTAAACAATGCCTTCGTCAAAGTTCGCTATACTGGCTGTCTGTTGGAATGACGAATTCAATTCGGTAAGCCGCACGGGAATTTTTCAGCAAGCCTACGACGACGGTAATAATCCTTGATCAAATCTTACGAAATAAATGTGCATGTATCACTGCTCAGCCTTGCTTTGTTCAGCGTAGTTCATCACATTGCTTATCATTTGTAGCATCTCCTGTGTTTGCTTAACCTATGTGCAAACAGGTGTAGTGTCAGGAGGGGGCAACTGCAAACCACGACTCTGGATGCGTTCTTAGTACTGTGCGCACACAACTTTCAGTTTCATTTCACTTAAGAGTTTCGGCCCCAAAATATAGCACGCGAAGTCACCCGCAGGTTAACGTAGTCGCATGCTGTGTGTGTGTGTGTGTGTGTGTGTGTGCTGTGTGTGTGTGCGTGCGTGCCGGCGTGCGGTGCGTGCGTGTGTATTGTGTGTGCGTGCGTGCGTGTGTGTGTGTGTGTGTTTTGTTTTG